CCAATTTTTTTCTAAAGAAAATAGGTGCAGAGATGAGGAAAATAACTCATCTCTTGTGAATTCTAGTTTTACCTCCCAGAGAGCTATTCTTAGAACCATACCAAGTCAGCGGAGTCCTTCTCTACAGAACTATATGTGCATGAATTAGAAAAAAATTTCATGAGCTTATTATATTAAATTATTAAAGAATGTGGCAAAAATAAGAATGTATTGGTGGACAGTTTAGGACAAATGGTATGTATTATTTTTAATCAGTTCCATATAATTTCCCTCTTAGGTTGTTTTACATGTAAACATAGGGCCCGTATTGAATCTTTCTGTTATTACATTTTCTGGAATTAAAGGAGAGTGCTGAGTGTATGGGGTTGTGCTGCCCTCTAGTGGCACCAAGAAAAATTTAGCTAAAGGAAAGAACAGAGGGAAGAGAGAGGGGTGGAAATAGCCGGAAGATTCGAGTAGGGATAAGGAGTCATAACATACGCCCAGCTCTTCGTCAGTTATTTATTACATATTTTTGTAATGTGTGACTTTTATGTAACTTTTTTCATTTTGAAATAGTTGAAAGAGATTGTTATCTTAGGCAATTTCTCAGTTACTTCTGTATCCAGCAAAAATACTAAACTCAACCCTGGATCTTGAGGCTGACCATGACATTGGGGCAGTCATGTGCCCAGTGTGCCAGGACTGATTGTGGGCACATCGGTAGCCAGATGATCCAGGTTACTGAAAGACAGTCTTACCCCTTTCCATCTATATTCTGGGAAAGAATAGCCTTGGGAGGGGATGGAATTTATTACCTTTGTGTATATGTGACATCATGGATATAACTGTAAGCATGCTTGTACTTTCTTGTCTTGCCAGTTAGCTCAAAGCCTACTTTCTGATTATTCTGCTGACTCTAATCAGAAATGGAATATTTACTTATATGTGGTTATTTGATTATTACTTTTACATATATATGCTACATTAGTGCACAGGATAAATGTGCTTTTCTGTGAAACCTCTGAAAATTAATATCCCCATGTCAATTTACAGTGGTAAAAACAACTTTTAAGGTATTATTAACTGAAATCCAATTATGTTTAATTCCCAAATATCTCCTTTAAACCATCCATCGTTGTTTACTAAGTATATTGATAGGTATTCAGGCAATGAAGGGTGGCTTGCCCTCAGTAACAAGGTTTTGCCAGTAGCAAATGCCTTTCCTGGCACTGCCGCCACACAAACACAAGAAAACTGGAGTTTGACTAAAAATGTAGTTGGTCAAATGAACCTTCGTGCTGACACAAAAAAATGGTTGGATACGTGCTTGCCTTCTTAGATAAACCACAAAGAACTGGACTCACCAGTCTCTCCTTGATTTTGTAATTTAGCCTGAGTGATCCACGAAAGAATTCTACTGGATTGGACAACTGTGTTTTTTTCCTCTTTACTTTTCTTTACAGCATCCCCAGCTAGAAACGCAACATCTTAACATTAAAATTGGCAAGTGCTTCCCTGCCTCAATTAAGAATGAAATATTGTTTAACTATTTTACGAAACAGTACTGTTACTTTAAAAATGCTATTATTGTTTCCTTGTTTTTAGGTATCTGGATGGGAACCAATTTACACTGGTTCCTAAGGAACTCTCTAACTACAAACACTTAACACTTATGTAAGTCATGTATTATATGTGTCTGTCTTTGACTTCTTATTCTCTTTCATGAAAATGGGGATAGCAAGTGGCAGAAGATGTAGTGAACCTTTCAGATAATAGAAATCATTGACAATTTGTTGCTTCCCTCCCTGCACGTTGTAATTCTGGATCACCAGCTACATCTTCTTATGTATCAGTCAAGCAGTGATGTGTCTTAGAAAACGGTCCTCCTGTATGCAAAGTACAAATACAATTAAATGTACGTGTCAGAGAATTACAGTATTGCAGCAAATCGTATACTTCTACTGTTGCTGAATATGGGCTATTTTATGACAAGCCAAGGAGAGACAGAAAACAGTATTTTTATTCCTAACTTTAAGCAGAAGATGGTAGATGGTAATAGTCTTACTAAAAGTATATTATAGATCTAGTTAGTTACATTTGAAATTCTTATATAATAAATAAATTATGAATTAAGTAATGGGCCTCGACTATTAAAATTCATTGTGTAAAATCCGTATTATATATTATTTAAGTAAACTTGACAAAGATGCTGACATTCAGAGTAGAAATTTCAAAATATTGAATTTTTTTTTAGTTTGGTTTGATGTCCTCCTAAAATAACATCTTTTTTTCATTAACGTATGTAAACAAATTTTTTTTACCAATTTTAAGTTTTATATACAAGTACATTTAAGCATACAAAATTTTATTCTATTTATGTGCACAGTATTTTAAAAAATACATAATTTTAGTATATATAATGTCACATTTAGAGTAGACTTGTTGGTAATTGATAAAACTCACAAAACAAAATATAGCAATGATAGTGGATATAAAGGAAAATACTTCATTAATTTCAATCTATCTGATTTTAGAGTAAATATGACTGGCTTAGGAAGCAGATTTCTAGTACACCTATAATAAAGAAGTTTATTCCTACTTAGTGAATTCTAGAAACCTAGGTAGTAGAAAATGTTACATTTCTCAAGCAAACTTTATAATAAACTAAGCAGGCGGAAGTTAGTTAAAATGATGTTGATTATTTTCAACGTTTCTTAAAAGTATGAGAAAATCAAACACTTTTGCAGAAAGTATATAGGACTATTTAAATGACAAATGATTAAATTAACAAAAAAAAGAGACTATCCTCTAAGATGTCTTGTTCCGCTTCTAGTTATTTATTTAATAGCATCAAGAAGTGATTATATACATTTTGTTCTGTTAAATAAAGCATTAAATTGCTCTAATTTCCAAAGGGTCACTTCATCAGAATTAGGTCATTTGTGGGACAGCTTGTGATTATTTAAAAACAATTTGGAAATGAAAAATGAGAATTGGTAGATCTACAAATGAGTTTACCAAAGAGTCATTATACAACCATAGGCAAGTAACTTTTGCTTATATATATATATATGCTTTTAAGATTTAGGTATAGTACTTCAGCAGTTAAGAAGATAGATATTAAAGCTTCTGTAACACTCCTACCATTTTTACAATTTTATTGGTCCATTTTACTGATGTTTTGGTACTTTAATAAAGGAAGGAATAATCAGCTTTCCTGACCTTTTATTGATTCACATATTTTGCTTCAGAATAATTTAGTGAATATAAGTACACACACATAAATGAACATAAATTATGACCTATAATTTGCCATTTATTCATGACTCGTTTATTTATATATTTGGCATTTTGCTTTAAAAAAATATTAGTGCATAGATGCATATTTCCTAACATGTGTGTCACATTGTCATATATATTTTTCCTAAAGTTTTAAAAAACATTTTCTAAAGTAAAATGCAAAAATCGTGTATATTATATACAA